ATGATGCTGGTGGGAGGGCAGCCAATTCTAATTATTCTAGTGATGAGGCTGATCCCTTGTCTGACTTCCGCCTTGAGTAACCTTGATGCTCTTGGCCCATCCACGCTGGTAATTCGAATAATAACTCATAGAAAAATGTGTCTTTCAACATATTTTTTTTTATTACTATGATCATAATGTGGTGTTTGTTTTTGCCCATGTACACAGGATGTTAATGATTGGGCCAAGGGGAAAGCACCATCATCTTCTTCACTTGAGGAATATGTCGGAATGGATTATCCAAAGGAGATGCTTTTGAAGGCTGTCAAGGCAATTGGTAAAAAATAATCAATTTTATTTGTTTTGTCTGTGTTTGCACCTTCTGATTCAATGGGTGGTTCGGCTTTTAGGGTACAGTCATGCAAATGAATTTCTCGACCTACTCACATTTAAGGTATTTTATGCATGCGCTTCTATTAGTTAGTTTATCCCATGATGTTGGTGCTGCATACTAGCAAAGACTCTGTTAATATTGGTTGTTTGAAATATAGACACTAGGTAATTACCCTTCCATGGGTAACTGCTTTACCCCTGGCTGCACCCCTCACGATGCTGCGGATGACGATGATATTGAGTTTGAAAACTTGAATGATGATGATGATGCTATTGATTTCGCAAACTGGAGTGATGATGATGATGGTATTGATTTCAAAAACTGGGATGATGATGACAATGGTGCTGGTGAGACAGAAGTCAATTCTAATGGTTCTAGTGACGAGGTAGCTGATTATGTATCTCCAGATTGAAAAATGAGTACTCTATGATTATATGTGCGATGATATGTGAAATCTTTGCCTTGTTGACCTGTTTAAGTATTAGTTGATTTTAGTGAAGCATCCAACATGATATATCGCTGGGACGTTATTTTCCCTTTTTCTTTTCAGATATTCTAGCTATCTGGCCAGTATAGTCCCATGGTTCAAAACATCATGGTAGAGTTGATGTATTTCTAAAATAAAATACTACTTGTTTAACAACTACACTAGCATGACCTTGGCCTTCTCTTTGCTTGAGTGAATTGTCTCTTGTTAAGAATTTATATTCGTATCTCTTATGATTCCTCTTCTGGGTGCCATTCACACCATGAGCACTCCTTCACATAATGTTTGATCTGCTCTTATTTTCTCTTTTGCTCTCAAAATCTCATGGGTGTACAATTGTATTGTGAGGTTTGAGCACATGATTTTCATTACATACAATTCTTCACATGCTAAAGTTTACCATGTAATAGTGTGATATTTAAGGGTATGGGATTAAATACTATCAAGACTACACCTCCCGCGGAGTAATCAAACGAACATGAAATGACTTTATTATTGCGCGTGCCTGTCTTCGGTCATAATGATTGTAAACTTAGTTTTATCTAGGCAGCACTCATTTTCTTTTCAGTGCTTATGCATTTGAATATTAGTTGCAAGACTTATGAAATATGTGTCATGATGCAATGAGCAAATCATATGCTAGTTGAGGTAGTTGTGTGATTTGTAAGCCAATGTTCTCTTGTATTAATGTCATTCTTAAACAACACTGGAGAATAAGAAGTTGAGTTCCTGAATTATCACATTAATTTGATTCTTGATTGGTTTCTCCTGTCTTGTTTCCTGGGTCGTCTGTGCTATCATTTTGTTATCAGTAACACCCCCACCTACCATGTTTTCCTAGGCTCATAGATGCCACTGTGCAGTTTTCACTATCAACACACAACCATTAGTTGCCTGTATTTTTGTTGTGCTTTTCAGACCTGTATTTCAGACCTGTATTTTTGTTGTGCTTTTCTGCAGGATTTCACACAAGCGATGTTAGAAAAGGACGAGAATATCAAGTCCTTTGTGGACGCGGGATTTCCTGAAGTTAGGGCCAATATGGCTATTACCAGAGGTGGTAATGCCTCTCTTTTGAAATTGTTGCATTCATTTAAAAGGCACCTTATGCTGTATTTTTTTGGTTATATTTCCTAGGTGCGGACGATGCTCTTTTTGCATTACTTGATTCCAAGAACTTTTCTGCCCGTGAGGTACCTTGTGGTTTGATTTTATATCTGAAAAATGAATCTCTTCCGCTCTTTTAAGATGCAATGACACCAAAGTTCATTTATAATTTTGTAGGTTATGAACAAGATCTTCAATTCCTTAAAAAGGAGAAAGGAAGGAAGATTCATGGAAGAGAGCAAGAAAAAAAGGATGCGATGTGGTGGTGAAGCACAAGGAAATTGGCTCCCCTTGAATGGTAGCGATGATGAACTGATTGTTCTTCCAAATCCAATGGTTGGCTTTAGCCTGCCTAATAGCATGGTACAGCCAGTTAAAAGAAGCCTCCCCGAACAAGCTATTGGACCACCTTTCTTCTACTATGAAAATGTGGCCCAAACCCCTAAAGGCTCATGGGATATTATTAAAGGAGAATTGTATGGTGTAGAGCCAGAGTTTCTGGATTCCAAGTACATATGTGCAACTGCCAGGAAAAGAGGTTACATCCATAATCTCCCTATTGAGAATAGGTCATCTCTCTGTCTGGACCCTCCAAAGACTATATTTGAGGCGTTCCCCCATTATAGGAAGTGGTGGCCTTCTTGGGACTCGAGAAAGCAGCTCAACTGCCTGACGACATGTGTGCCAAGTTCAAGGCTGACAGAACTAATTGAGTGCCTTCTTTCAGTAGCGGAGAATCCACCACCTCCTCATGTTCAAAAATATGTTATGGCTTTGTGCAGAAGATACAATCTCGTGTGGGTTGGTAAAAACAAGGTTGCTCATTTGGAGCCTCATGAGATGGAATACCTACTGGGTTTTCCAAGGGATCACACGAGAGGACTCGCCAGAAAGTGGAGGTACAAATCTCTTGGCAACTCATTTCAAGTGGATACAGTTACTTACCACTTGTCTGTGTTGAGGAACATGTTTCCTGATGGTATAAAAGTACTGTCCTTATTCACCGGTATTGGAGGAGGAGAGGTAGCGCTACACAGGCTTGGAATCCACATGAGGATAGTGGTTTCTGTAGAGATATCTGAAGTGAATAAGAGGATTTTGAGAAGTTGGTGGAAGCAGACTCAGACAGGCAAGTTGATTCAGCTTCCAGACGTGAGGACTCTCACTGATGATAAAATCAAGTCATTTATTGAAAAAATTGGCGGCTTTGACTTGGTGATTGGGGGCAGCCCATGCAACAATCTTGCTGGCAGAAATCGGTTCCACCGTAACGGTCTAGAGGGCGAGCACTCTTCTCTATTCTACCAGTACCCTAGAATCTTGAACACCGTCAAGTCAGAGATGGCGAGGATGAAGCACTTAGCTATATCTCTTTGTTGCAAACCAGTCTAGGACATGCTCATCTTTGTCCGAAGGAAGTCTACCATTGGTCCTTTTAACTCTTGTCGGAGTTTAATTTCCATCGCCAACTCTGAAAAGTGTTGTTACTGAATCAACAGTGTGTGAGTTTCCATTGATGAATGCCGACACATAAATGTGGTTTGATAGTTATTGATGACTGAGTATTTTTATGATACTTATGGGGACCTTTTGAAGTTAGTTTCAACGGATTGCATTTTCATGTGAGTTGAGTTCTGAACTTACACTTGGAAGATTTGGCATCTGCTTTCCTTTGAAGTTCCTGTTGGCTGAAAAAGAGTTAAAATCGAGACGACGTGGCTTGCTGGCTACTCCAGATTGCTTTACTGTTTGCTAGTGACTTCCGATCTCTACTTGCTAGATAGTACAGTACTTGTACACTGAGTCACCGATAGCTTTAGAACTGTTTGTTTTTGAGGTCTCTAGTTTGCTGCAGTTGAGACCTGAGAGAATTGGCTTTACTGTTGCAAGCCTGCACTGCATTCTTCTTTATTTTTCTCTGTTTCCAGAAATTCAGCATTTGCTTCTTGAGGCAATTGAAAATTGTGATTTTGTCGGACATATTTTCTTTCTTGATAGGTCCAAAGAATATTATATCTGCTTGTGTTGCTCCATCTCTGTTTCTCTAAATTCTTAGGGCACTTTGTTTCTCAGCATTGAAGATTCAGACTTTGAGCTCTTCAATCTGGCACTCAGCATTTTTCTCGCCTGGATCGCAAAGCTTGGCAAACCCTAAGAATTCTGCTTGTGTTACTATGACCTTGGGGTTTTCCTTGCGATCCAGACTTTGAGGATGTTTGCAGGGGGCAGAAGCCATTATTTTTCTTAATCTAATCTTCCCTTAAAAAATCCCATGTAGAACCAAAGCTGGGGGGGCCACGGCACCTGCAGTAACCAACGTAGCTCCGCCGCTGTCGGTAGTCACCCAAGCCAAATTTGGAGGGCTATTATTGATGGTCATGATGCGCTAAAACAGGGCCTTATCAGAACTATAGGAAATGGAGAGAGTACCAACATATGGTCGGATAATTGGCTACCCAGGGCGGAAATGATGAAACCATTTGGTAGGATATCCAATGATCCACCTCAGAAAGTGTCCGAACTGATTGACCACACATCAGCTGTTTGGGACGGCAAAACTAGCAGAAGTTTGTCTCCCAATTTATATCGCTGCTGTTCTGAGGATACCCCTATGCACTTCTGAAATTCAAGATTCACGGTCATGGTACTTAGAGAAAAATGAGTGAATTGCAGAAAACCACCACATTGAAGCCTAGGGTTGCAGAAAAGACTTTTCTACGATTTTGTGCCAGAAAACACTGATTTTGGTCCTAATCATTTGCAGAAAACACCTAACCGTCTGTTGGGGCCATTTAAGCACTATTATGACAGGTGGGGCCCGATTTTGAGGACGTGGCGTCACGGCCGGCAGCTGACGCTGTCTAACGGCGTGACTGCCGCTACTGCTCCGCCGTGTGGGTAAAAACTGGATCGATCCAGCTCTCTCCTCACACTCTCTCCTCTGCCTCGCCCTCTCCTCACTCTGTTCTCACTCTATTCTTCTCCACCGGTGCCGCCACACCGCCGACCGCCGTTCTGCTGCTCCCCGGTGCCATGGTGTCGTGGAGCGACGAGACCAATGATGATTCAGTGCTGAACATCTCCTCGTCCTACGATGGCATCATCAAGGTCAGTTCATTAGATAGCTAGAGCTAGGGTTAGGGTTAGTGAAATGGGGATTTTGTCATTGAGCTTGATCTGAACCTAGCCTTCTTTTTGCTTGCTCCCGCAGCTTCCTGCTACGATGCACGATCCGAATTTCAATGGCACTGACGCAGATGTGAATGTTTTGTGTGAACACGGTGAGCCGGCCGAGCGCTTTGTTGCATTTGAAGGGATGCACACGGGCAGGAGGTTTCTTGGATGTGCTAAGAAGGTATGATTCACATCCTGTGTAAAGAAAGTTGTTTGCTTAATGCTTTGTTTATCAAGCTGTTAATATTTTTTAGCTTGGTCTTTGTTTAGCTTGTTCTGACATGCCTTGTCATTAGTGCTTTGTCTTTGTTTAATTTGCTTTAGCCACTGTGTTGGAGTGTGTTGTCATTAGTGGATGGTAGTATTTGTTTATTATGGTCAGTGCTTAATGACTTGTTTACTTGTGTGGGCATTGTTTACTTGTGTGCTTTACTCCTCTGTTTAACAGTGCACATATTAGATACCTGAACCTGTTGGTTTGATGATACCTGAACCATAATTAATTATTTCTTTTATTGTTTATAATACAGGAAGGCCTAAACTGTGGAGTAGTTCAATGGATTGATTTTGAATGGCCAGACTCAATGGAGAAGGCATTGGCCAAGCTATGGGATATGTATGAGGAGATTAAGTCAGCTAGGACCAATGACAATCTAGAGAGTTCATTTGCAATCCACAACCTGACAGAAGAGAAGAAGAAACTACAGGAGAATTATGATAGTTTGTATGCTGATGTGAATTCTCTTTTGGATGCCCAGCAGCAGAGTGGTCTGGAGTTAGCCAATCAAACGGAGAAGAAGCAATATCTTGAAATTAAGATTGCTGAGCTAGAAACTGTAGTTGGCAACTTGAAGGTAGAGCTGTCAAAGAAAGAGGAGGAGAAGAAGAAACTACAGGAGAACTATGACACTTTAAATGCTGATGTGAATTCCCTCTTGGATGCCCAGCAGCAGAGTGGTGTGGAGTTAAAGAATCAGAAGGAGCAGAAGGAATATGTTGATGTGAAAATTGTTGAGCTTGAGACTGTAGTGGGGAACTTGAAGGCACAACTGTCAAAGACAGAGGAGGAGAAGAAGAAGATGCTGCAAAACTATGAAACTCTGAAGAACCTGGCAGGTGCTCAAGCCAATGTGATTAGGAACTTGAAGTTCAATCATTTGAAGGAGAAGGAGAGGCTGACAGAAGAGAGGCTTAAACTGCATCATCACATTTCTGACCTTCAAAAGTCTGAGGAAAAGATAAAGTTGAAGCTTCAGGGTGTGAAGGCCATCTTAGATGAGTAGGGTGCCTTCTAGTATGATAATCATCTATCAGTTTCTAGATGATTATCTTCTATCCAGTACTTTAGTATGAATTTGTGACCCAAGTACTTCAGTGATGAATTTGTGATCTATGGTGTTGGATCCAAATCTAGATGATAATCATCTATTAAGTACTTTAGTATCTATTTCTGAACCTTTATGTATGTATTTTGTGAGATCAGGTGTTGGATCCAACTTTGAGGGATCTTTATGAATGTGAGTGCACTTTGATGTTATCTGGTGTATGTGCTTAGTAGAATTTGATATAAGTTATTTGGGGCTGTTGAATGTGAGTGCACTTTTATCCAACCTCATTTCATCGACTTATCGACAAAATGGCCCTAGGGTGCCCCATAGCCTCATATCATCGACTTATCGACAAAATGGCCCTAGGGTGCCCCCTAGCCTCATATCATCGACTTATCGACAAAATGGCCCTAGGGTGCCCCCTAGCCTCATTTCATCGACTTATCGACAAAATGGCCCTAGGGTGCCCCCTAGCCTCATATCGTCGACTTATCGACAAAATGGCCCTAGGGTGCCCCCTAGCCTCATTTCATCGACTTATCGACAAAATGGCCCTAGGGTGCCCCCTAACCTCATTTCATCGACTTATCGACAAAATGGCCCTAGGGTGCCCCCTAGCCTCATATCGTCGACTTATCGACAAAATGGCCCTAGGGTGCCCCATAGCCTCATATCATCGACTTATCGACAAAATGGCCCTAGGGTGCCCCCAAGCCTAAACTATTGAACATTGTAATGGTCATAATAACAAGCCAACAAGCACAAATAGAGAGGCTTAAGTACAGTGCATCATATAGATTCATAGATTCATAGATTACAGTACCATAAGTTCAGCCAGATTACAGCATCATATAGATTCATAGATTCTCATAGATTACAGTACCATAAGTTCAGCCAAATTACCATAAGTTGTTGCCAAAATAGATCTTAGCAATTACTAGTTTAGCTAGATCACATCATCATCAAGGTTGAACATCAGTTCCCAGAAGCATAGAAATAGTCTTTCAGCCTGCTGGGTTGCTTTCTCTGTCTTGGTGGGTTCCAAGAAGCTCTCCTGGCAGCACCTACAGTTGAAGAAGCTGCCCTTGGTGCTTGAGCAGTTGAAGAAGCTGCCCTTGGTGCTGGAGTAGTTGAAGAAGCTGCCCTTGGTGCTGGAGCAGTTGAAGAAGCTGCCCTTGGTGCTGGAGTTGTTGAAGAAGCTGCCTTTGGTGCTCCACTTGTTGATCCCCTTGGTGCTGGAGTTGTTGAAGAAGCTGCCCTGCTTCCTTGTGTGCTACCCTCCTCTGTGTTGCTAGACTGCATATAAGAATTGTAGCAAGTTAGTACATTCAAGTGTTAGAAAACAAAATGAAGTGTATGTGTGATGCTTGTACAAACCTGATGCTTGTTCTTTCTCATTGCTAAGCCTGGTTTTAGAGTCTGTTTGCATGATGTGTATCTGTGACCTACAAGCTGGCAGTTGCTGCATGTAATTGAAGCCATCCTAGATGTATCTTTGGGTGCTGGTGGCTCAAACTGGCTCCTTCTCCTCTTGGTTTGCTTCTTCCCTGGCTTATCCTTGAACACTGGAGGTTCTATGTCTCTGGTATTGGTCTTGGGCCACAGATCTTGTCCTGGTACACGGTATATGATGGGGTTGTATGCTGCCAGATACATTGGCTTTTTGAAAAAGTCATGTACAAAGTCTTCAGGCCTCAGTTTGGCTTTGGTGATAGCTGATACTGCATGATTGCATGGGATTGCAGTCATATCCCATTTCCTGTACCCACATGTCCTATGCTGCAGGTTAACTAAATAAGTTCTCTCATTGCTTGTCACTTGGTAGATATTTGGCCCAGCCATCAATGCTTGACAGTTCCTAGAATTTTTCTTTGCTTCCTCAAGCAACTCAGCATATGTTGGGCATATATCCCACTTGGCTACCTCTGTCTTAGTCCTATTGCCATTGAACCTAACCATCAACTTTGTTCTGATTCCATCTATCATGCTCTTTATTGGTTTGCCCCTCACATCTAATATCATCTTGTTAAAGACCTCACTAATATTGTTGACAACTAGGTCAGTTTTGCAATTGAAGTCCATTGCAAATCTAGCCCAAGCAGCTCTAGGAACTTTGTTAAGCCAAGCCCAAGCAGCCTTGCACTCATTTTTAAGAGCATCCATTGCAGCAAGATGGTCATGTTCAGTATAAGAGTAACTAGCTTTATCCATATACTTCTTTAATTCTGACCCCCTAAAACCAGCAGTCTAAAAGTTTTGATAGATGTGTCTAAGGCAGAATCTATGTGGGCAGTTGGGGAATACATTGTTTGCAGCTTTAAGAAGGCCCTATTTGGAGAAATCACCAACAACTACTTAAGCAACTAAGCAATGTATATGACAAATAACTACTTATGCAATTGTGAACTATGCAATTCTGAACTAAGCAATGTATACTATAAAATACAACTAAACATGGGAATTACCTTCTGTCTATCAAAGATTATGGTGTAATAACCAAATCTCCCTGATTCTCCACCAATTGCTATCTTCAGTTCAGATAGAAACGAAGTCCAACTTTTTGTGTCTTCTTTGTCCACAACTGCAAAAGCAATGGGATATATGTTATTATTCCCATCCCTTCCTGTGGCAGCCAGGATTTGTTGGCCAGTAGACAGCTTGATGAAGCATCCATCCACACCTGCAATGGCACACAAAACAAGTCAGAAACAAGGCATTGAAACAAGGCAAACTAAACATTCAGAAATCCTTCCTTGCAAAGTAAAGTAATCACCTATGAATGGTCTACATCCATTCAGAAATCCTTCCTTGCAAGCATTCAAACAGATGAATAGGCCATGGAACCTTGGATTTTTGCTTGGATGCTCCTTCAAGAACTTAGTAGTGACAATGCACCTACTACCTGGATTTGTGTCCAAGACAGCCTGCAAATAATCCCTGATCCTGGTATACTGACCCCTCTGATCTCCTTGCACAATCTGAGCTGCTTTGTTCTTGCCCTGTAGGCCATATGAGTGCTGATCTCAACTCCATACTTGCTCTTTAGATTTTGCATTATTGTAGTTATTGATGTGTTCAAGTCTGTTCTTATTGCTTCTAAGACCTGATGTGTGACCCACTTGGTAGTCACCTTGGTGCTCTCAGCTACAGCTGGACATGTGTGCAAAAAATTTGCCTTTCTAATGCAAAATGTTCTCTCATTTGCCAACACAGAAGCTGCAATGAAAAAAGGGCAATCTTCATGTCTGCAAATAGCTATGATTCTGTCATTGCAGTTCCTATGAAACTGATAGTTTTTGTTTTGAGCTATGTGGAATGTGAGAAGTGCCCTTCTAAACTGGTAAACACTTTCAAAACAAAGCTTCTTCACAAACTGCATCTCTGGGCTCTCTCTATCCTCAGCATACCAGTTTCTTGGTTTGGGTTTTTTGGCCCTACTCTTATTGCCAAGCACAAAAGCTAGGGCTAGTGCCCCATCATCCTCCTCCTCATTCAAATCACCAGGATTTGGATCCTCATCAGATGATGGCACCCAAACATCCTCAAATTTTTGCTCCAAACTTGCATGTGATCTAGTAGTTGGCCCCTTTCTTACTTTCAACTTCTTCCTCTTTTCCCCTTGTGGTACCACCTCCTCTTCAATTTCCTCATCCTCTCCATGTTCCTCATTCACTACCTCTTCTTCTAGCTCATAAGGTTCTTCAACATCAGTGTCACCTTCAAAGTGTAAAAACGGGTCCTGTCTCTGCCTCCTCATCTCAGCCATCCTAGCCATGAAATCCTCATCTTGCTCCAAGTCAGAGTCATCTTCAGTTAGTAAAACAGGAAGTTTTCTTTTAACTGCCTCCACCCTCTCAACACTCTTCTTATGCTTCTTATACCTCTGTATTTTATTCCTCCTCTTAAGCTCCATAGTTCTTTCCAACTCCTCTTGCTCCAAATCATCATCTCCTGCATTTCCTTGATCCATATCTTGTGCCTCCTGCTCATCAACTTGTGCAACTCTCCTTGTTTTTTTGGATGGTGACTTGTACACCACACCTTCCTCACTGACCTCATACACAGTCCTCTCTCCAACACTGCCTATAGGGACCTGCTGCTCACAAACATAGCCTATATTTAAATCTCCAGGTCTGGGCTCACTACCCCTAACTACTGTCAGATTAACTATGGTCTGATCTCTGTTGGCAATGTGGTCTAGCATCTCATCAACCTTGTCATCATCACAGATCTCTTCCAAACCAGCTACTCCCAAGCTAGCATCCCTAACAAAGTGTTGGGGAACGTTGCAGAAAACAAAAATTTTCCTACTCGTTTCACCAAGATCATCTAGGAGTTCATCTAGCAACGAGTGATTAGATGCATCTACATACCTTTGTAGATCGTGAGCGGAAGCGTTCAAAGAACGGGGATGATGTAGTCGAACACGACGTGATCCAAATCACCGATGACCAGCGCCGAACGGACGGCACCTCCGCGTTCAACACACGTACGGAACAGCCACGTCTCCTCCTTCTTGATCCAGCAAGGGAGGGAGGAGAGGTTGAGGGAGATGGCACCAGCAGCAGCACAACGGCGTGGTGTTGATGGAGCTGCAGTACTCCGGCAGAGCTTCGCTAAGCACTATGGAGGTGGAGGAGGTGTTGGGGAGGGAGAAGGAGGCAACCAAAGGCCAAGGCGTTCAGGTATCAAGTCCCTCCTCTCCCCCACTATATATAGGGGTGCCTAGGGGGGGTGGCCGGCCCTAGGAGATCCAATCTCCTAGGGGGTGCGGCGGCCAAGGGGGTTTTCCCTCCCCCAAGGCACCTAGGAGGTGCCTTACCCTCCTAGGACTCTTGCCCCCTTAAACCCTAGGCGCATGGGCCTATGTGGGGCTGGTGCCCTTGGCCCATTAGGCCAAGGCGCACCCCCTTACAGCCCATGTGGCCCCCCGGGGCAGGTGGACCCACCCGGTG